ACCAGACTACACAGCGCAACAACCCAGAAGACAGAAGTCTTCATACTCATCGCCCTGATGATGGAGGCAGTATGACCTCTGAAACGTTGGTTAACATCGACCACACTACACAGCGCAACAACCCAGAAGACAGAAATCTTCATCGCCCTGATGATGGAGGCAGTATGACCTCTGAAACGTTGATTGACATCGACCAGACTACACAGCGCAACAATCCAGAAGACAGAAATCTTCATACTTATCGCCCTGATGATGGAGGCAGTATGACCTCTGAAACGTTGGTTAACATCGACCAGACTACACAGCGCAACAACCCAGAAGACAGAAATCTTCATACTCATCGCCCTGATGATGGAGGCAGTATGACCTCTGAAACGTTGGTTAACATCGACCAGACTACACAGCGCAACAACCCAGAAGACAGAAATCTTCATACTCATCGCCCTGATGACGGAGGCAGTATGACCTCTGAAAGGTTGGTAAACATCGACCAGACTACACAGCGCAACAACCCAGAAGACAGAAATCTTCATATGTAAACTACTCTGAATTTCTTGTAATATTATTGTCACATCCACACTCAAGTCTTCTTCTTCGTGTCTTCCTATCAGGTTATCGAATTAAAATATTATAGGCATTTAATCTTTACTCTTGTGTTCTATATGTCTTACATTTTGGTGTTTCTTTATCCTGCTTTGAGTACTTACACTCTGTGTGTGTGTGTGTGTGTGTGTGTGTGTGTCTGGGCCGTGTTGTCGACGATTCAGATGAACATACTTCTCAGGATCAACATTAACAATGATTCGCCGTGATATTTTAAACTCAGTGGATGATGGGAACGCAATTCAAATTCGCAAGACGTCGACATAAAGTTGACAATTTTGTTGGCAGAAACAATAAAACAAGTAGCCGTCATAGTTTCAGGTGCTCATAAATGCGCTGTGATTCAGTTCGATTCAAAAGCCAGTGAGTCCACACTATTCATATAGCTTTCGTCACTGGGTAACGCATAACGTAAAGACCTATTCAATTCAGTTACATTCATTATCAACGAACGTCCCGTCGTCATTTCAGAAGCAACTTGCAGAAAGTTAAACTGTTGTCTGCTAGTGTAGAGTAGATATTTGGAACAGCGATTATAGGTTTTCCCAAATAGAAAAGTTTAGTGTTGAGTATAAGAACGGAAAATGAAAAACCTGTATCAGCATCATTAAATTAAATGTGGTTCTTGCTTAAACAGAGAGATTTATTTTTTTAAACCAAGATTACGTTTAAGTTCCGACAATATTTAAGTTTCATAGAAACAAACCAAACATCTTGACGTCAGTGACACAGCTGCTACTTTGTAGCACAAAGATTAAATTTATTTCCTTAATAGAATTTGAATGAATTAAGACTGAGTGAGATTTCAGGCTGTGATGGCGGCAAGTATGAAGGGGACTGTCTTCTTAGTTGTATCACAGTGTAATTTCGTAGGCATTGGCCGACGTTTCAGAGGTATTTACTGCCTCCCTTATAGCCATGATGATGGAGCTGGTAACTACCTCTGAAACGTCTGTAAATTTCTATGAGATTATATGGCATAACATTACAGCCTTCAGTGTGAAAAGTATACTTAGGCCTATCTTTGTGACATTTTATAATTGGGCCTATGGAGGATACTTGAGAACACCATACGAGAGGATTTTATACAGGACACAACAAAACCTCTCAATTGCAACACGATTATCTGTTTTATGTACATTATAACACTTGATGGTACTATCCAGGCACTTGTAAGATTGTAGACTTGAGGAAAACTACGAAAATCAGTCAAGATAACCAATAAACCTCCCGAGATTCAAAACCAGACCAACACCCTCCGCTGAAATTAAAGTACTCAGTCACTTTGTCTTAACAGGACGCAAGAGAGTCCTTCTTGAGAAGATAGTAGTGGCTCAGCTAGCCAAGAAAATCCTCTCGTCTTATGGAACCCTGAAGTCTATTGTCATTTCTTAAGAGTCTGCCACTGAACTCCTTCCTGATTAATCCAGTCAACATTCTCACACTACTTGTTTAAGATCTGCTATAATATTATTCTTCCATCTGTACTAGATCTCCCAAGCTATTTTTTTCTTTCAGGTTTGCGGATTAAAATTTTGTAGGCATTTATAATCACCCGAAACGTGCTACATGCCTCTACCTTCTCGTTTTCCTTGATTGTCCCCTTTCTCTTAGGCTTGGATGTTTAATTAGAGCTTGTTCTCAAATGTTCCCAGACTCTGTTCGTATTTATCTGAAGGAATTTACAATCTGATTCTATTTCTTGCAGCATTGTTTTGCGATTTCTTATCGGCGAGAAAACCAGCGCCAGTACGAACTTCGGGCCATCACGGAGTCTGACTGCAAGACCTGGATAGAAGCTATTAGGGAAGCGAGGTAAGCCCGAAATTTAATCACTGAACTTTAGTAATATTTCAGAAGCATTTCGTTTCAACTTAGAAACAAACAGCAAACCCGTCTGCACGTTTCTCCGTAACATTATCATGACATGATAAAATTGTGCTTTAAAGTGAGAAAACTCTATATCTTTTTATCGCAGTGTTTCATGACCTCATTACAACATATTGAACAGTATATTTTCTAAAACTCGTGGTTGTCAAGTGAGTTTCAGCTGTTATTAGTGCCATATTTTAGTTAAAAAACTGTTACTAACATCAAATTTAATTTTTAAATATTTTAAGGTTATTTTAAGGCTCCAAAATGTTAACGTTTGTCTTTTGTTTTGAGGATGGACGAAAAATTTGACTGATAAATTTCGAAATATGGATGGATATTAGCGGTGTTGAACCTTCAGGCTTTTATTGTTCTTAATAACTCGATAACAGACCAGTTAAATACTCCGGATTATATTTAAGTGTTCTTATAAAATAAGCCAGATATTCGCAACGGGTCTTCTTAAAGAATAATTACGTTATTTTCTGCAGTAGCGACTCGCTCGATTTGATGCCATCACTCTATGTGTCTGTAAAATGGAGGATAAAAATTTTAGAATTTAATTCTAAACATCCTGTCTTGTCAGCTACGAATCCGTGTTGTAAGTCAAATCGTATATTGTCACACTTTACGACCTCCCGCCAGCAAAAGTCTGAGTTGTGAAAATATGAACGTTCGTAGAGAGAGAATTACTTTCGCTACTTTAAAAAGGATTAGAGATGGCAATGCGCATTTACTTCACGGAAGTAAAAAACACTCCCGCCATCGTGACAAGACGCGACGAGAAGTGAAAGGAAGAAAATACAGCCATCTAGCAGGATTTTTCAGGAATTAGTTCTTACATTGGCGGAAGTCGAGTGTGTTTTAAATCGAGACGACATAAATTGTAAAACATGGACATACAACTGAAATCTGTACGTTCTGAAACGATCGACTTGTAGTTATTAAATTATTTCTGAACAACTGTTGAAGTTGTATTTTTTCATAGGTAAGAAAGGTTTAAATCAGTACGAAGTATTTTTAACATAAGCCCTTCTCACTGTGAATAACGTAATATAAGTTAAATTTTGGAAATATTAATTGATTACTTAAAAATGCTGGTATTATGATATTTACAGAAAATATACAACCACTGTTAAGTAGAAGCTAGCTTGGATCGTAGACTGATAGCAAAAAGAGAATCACAAGTACATATCTATATTATGTCACCAAAATACAAGTACATATCTATATTATGTCACCAGAATATATAAGAATGACATATTCGTAATTCCTTTGAAAATGCGGCAGATTTCGAATTTTTAACAATAAAAAATTGAATATTTTCAGAATGAAATTAAGAGTAGAGTACATTTAGAAAACACTTGTTACTCCTTTATTCGTTATATTTACTCCTATTTATTTACAACACAAAATTGAGTAGGACACTCGCAAAGGATAAAGTTGTTTCTGGTCATGAAGACGTCTGTGAAAGTGAAGGTACAGCTCCACACATTCGTAAATCCCGCATTAGGTGGAGGTGACACGGATCAGCTTCAGGCACTGGCCGCTTTACCCTCTCTCGCACCTGGAAACTAAATCCGTCACAGAGTGGATAGGATGCTGTGTGGAGCTCAGTATCGGTCTGGACGCTATTGCAAAGAAAAATCTCTGCTGCCGCCGAGAATCGAACATCGGTCACCTAGCTCGTAAACCCCGTTACCAAACTGACTGGGACACCCTGGTTACCGTTCGGTAGTAAGAGCAAACGAAAATTTAAATTATCATATTTTTCGTTCCAAAACTTGGATGGATGTGCTATTTTGCGCGCTCACTGTGGCAAGCGTGTTCTAGGTTGCGGTCCCCTGTCATGGAAAATCATGTGTGAATTGTAAAAGGAAAATGTGGTGTCACACGGCAATTATTGCGACACTGGAAAATTAATTAGTTTCAGACACAGCTAACAGGGTTCAGAGTCAAACTCTTGCATTTTCGCATGTGCCCCTTCAAGAGTGCGTTCGTTGTGTGTGAATCAACTCCATTTCTCTTGAATCAGCTCTATCTCAGTTTGTTCTCAACCACAATCCCAAGAACATACAGGTTTCAGTTCTGCAGAGCTCGAAACAATTCTGTATTCTCGTGTGGGCTGTATAAATATCTTTTTGTTTCGGGTTTAAAAATAGAAAATGTACTGTTTAAATAGCATACTTAAAGCATTCTAAATCGATGTTGCCTTCTTTCAATTTATTCAAGAGAGAAATGGCATGTTTGTGATATATATGCAGAGGACTAATACAATATGGGCCTGTTGTCTAAATATTTTCAATGTTATCGGTAGGGTCTCAGGCTTATAGACGCCGGCGTCCTGCCTTGAAGGTCCAGGTTTGAGCTCAAGTTTGTTTATGTGGGATCTGTGGTCGACAAGCTTGCAGTGGAACAGGATTTCCTCCCAGTCCTTCGGGTTTCTGTTGTCTGGATCATTCCATCGCCGCTCCATATTCAATCGTATATCATTTGGAGAATCGACAAAGGGTCCGTTAGAAATCCGTTTCCAAAGAGACGGTCTCTCCCCATCGCAGCAACACGGAACAGTACAATCAGAAGCGAGCAGGAACTACACACAACATTTTTGTTAAGATACATAATTGAAAGGAGAGCTACCTTCTCGACCGTGACATAGATGGAAATATTACAGTCTTGAATACAGTTGATAGGTGATTAAGAACACAAGCTGAGTAGACTATTTTGACCTAAAAGGACGGAAGCAACAGGGTGTAAGAAATATAAGGATAATATTAAAATGAATATTAAAACGTATAGTATTAGTATTAGGACTAGATTCCACCAACTCTATACTGAAACTAGTGGTGGTATTACGAAACTTCTCTGTATGAATATTCCCTGCTGGGCCAGACCATCTCCTCATCATTCATCGATTCTGATTGGCCACTTCTTCTTATGACCCTATATAAACTATCCACTACCCAACATCCCCATTTTAGCCTGAAGATGGAGACAGTGTGTGTCTCCGAAACGTCAGTTTATAACCACAAATCTACACGGCGCCTCAACCCAGACATGGACGTCTCCACCGTTTTGAGAACTTCAGACTTGGCGTTTATATGATTATTTCCTGATTTTATCCTTATAATGAATTTATAAATTCCGCACTTCTGTATCAGTTAAGCATTTTTAAATCAGCTAATTGGGCTGAAATACGTACAAAGCTTCACACGGCAATTATTGCGACACTGGAAAATTAATTAGTTTCAGACACAGCTAACAGGGTTCAGAGTCAAACTCTTGCATTTTCGCATGTGCCCCTTCAAGAGTGCGTTCGTTGTGTGTGAATCAACTCCATTTCTCTTGAATCAGCTCTATCTCAGTTTGTTCTCAACCACAATCCCAAGAACATACAGGTTTCAGTTCTGCAGAGCTCGAAACAATTCTGTATTCTCGTGTGGGCTGTATAAATATCTTTTTGTTTCGGGTTTAAAAATAGAAAATGTACTGTTTAAATAGCATACTTAAAGCATTCTAAATCGATGTTGCCTTCTTTCAATTTATTCAAGAGAGAAATGGCATGTTTGTGATATATATGCAGAGGACTAATACAATATGGGCCTGTTGTCTAAATATTTTCAATGTTATCGGTAGGGTCTCAGGCTTATAGACGCCGGCGTCCTGCCTTGAAGGTCCAGGTTTGAGCTCAAGTTTGTTTATGTGGGATCTGTGGTCGACAAGCTTGCAGTGGAACAGGATTTCCTCCCAGTCCTTCGGGTTTCTGTTGTCTGGATCATTCCATCGCCGCTCCATATTCAATCGTATATCATTTGGAGAATCGACAAAGGGTCCGTTAGAAATCCGTTTCCAAAGAGACGGTCTCTCCCCATCGCAGCAACACGGAACAGTACAATCAGAAGCGAGCAGGAACTACACACAACATTTTTGTTAAGATACATAATTGAAAGGAGAGCTACCTTCTCGACCGTGACATAGATGGAAATATTACAGTCTTGAATACAGTTGATAGGTGATTAAGAACACAAGCTGAGTAGACTATTTTGACCTAAAAGGACGGAAGCAACAGGGTGTAAGAAATATAAGGATAATATTAAAATGAATATTAAAACGTATAGTATTAGTATTAGGACTAGATTCCACCAACTCTATACTGAAACTAGTGGTGGTATTACGAAACTTCTCTGTATGAATATTCCCTGCTGGGCCAGACCATCTCCTCATCATTCATCGATTCTGATTGGCCACTTCTTCTTATGACCCTATATAAACTATCCACTACCCAACATCCCCATTTTAGCCTGAAGATGGAGACAGTGTGTGTCTCCGAAACGTCAGTTTATAACCACAAATCTACACGGCGCCTCAACCCAGACATGGACGTCTCCACCGTTTTGAGAACTTCAGACTTGGCGTTTATATGATTATTTCCTGATTTTATCCTTATAATGAATTTATAAATTCCGCACTTCTGTATCAGTTAAGCATTTTTAAATCAGCTAATTGGGCTGAAATACGTACAAAGCTAGTGGCTCTGATGCCTGTGGTCTGTACGTTGCTAAGCTAACGTACCATTTTCTGCCTCGTTCCAGTTTCAACAAGCTGCTTCTGCAGAAAGAGGAGCTAGAACAGAAGCATCTGCATCTGCTACAGATCGTGGAGAGCGAGAAGACAGCAAAATGGCAGTACACGCAACAGTGCGAAGAGCTGGCATCGGAGATCAAGAAACTTCGTGCCGAGGTAAGATCAGATATCACAATTCCTCTCTCCAGTTAAAACTTTGGATGTTACGAACGAGATATATTGTCTTCAACTCTTTTCCCGTAGTTTCATGAGCCGAATTACCTGTGAAAATAAAAGTGCATTTCATATCTTGACGCTTTAAGCTTGCCATTTTTTCGTAACAAAAAAAAACCCCGATGTCTTTATGTTCAGTCTCATTAGTAGTAGAAACTTTTTACAGCGATTGCAGGTCTTATACACCTTATTATAACAACAATGTACTCCCCCTACTTTGACTTCTAATTATATGTTGAGCCTTCGGATTTTATTCTCTCATTTCTATGTCTGATTTTGTACAAGTATTTTCATGTATCATTTGAACACCGAACTTTAATACAATTTACTTTCTGGTATAAACTAAATCTTCCTATATATCAAGCCATTCACAACATGCAACTATTTCCATTCTGAAGGGTTTTGACGATGGTGTGCTGCAGTCTGGATTACTGAATTTTTGGATTTGTCCATTGTCTGGTTTAAAAAAAAAAGATGTCTTCGTTCTCAGGTGTAAGAAATTCGGGATCTTTCTAATGGACCCAGAAGAGTAGGACCAAAGAAATCCTTTCTTTTAGGGAATGTGAAGGCTCATTACCAGGTTCAGAAGGGTCTGCCATTGGACCCTATTCTAAGTAAGATGAATTCATTCTGTAAAACCCCCCCCACCCACTCTATCTTTTTATAATCTTATTTCGATATTATTCTCCTATGTACGCATAGACAGAATATCCAGTACACGTGCCAAGAATGGGACCAGTTATTGCCAGAATAAGAGTCAACTATGTTAGCTGCTGGCTGTTTTGTTGAAACTAAAATCCTTGGAGAAATATTAGCCTTCCAGTTCCAGTGATTCGATCTTCATCTGGTCCTCTCTTAAAGTGTTGAAGAGAAGACAGTTCATCTAAAACATTCCTTTATAGAAGGCTCACATGTATGTGAGCTATGACAGAGTAAGCCAAAGCTTGGTATCCTTTGGGAAATGACGTCATTCGACAGAATCTGCTACGGCCCAGAGTAATCTTTCGAAGTTCCACAGCGTGAGCACGCTTCATAATTGAAGGCGTCCCTTTTGGTTGCTAGGAATTCGCATAAATCAAAAGTGGTAGCATAACTTGGATTATGTGCCCTTGTGTGTGTGTGTGTGTGTGTGTGTTTGTTGGGGGTGGGGGGTGAGCTGTACGGACGAGTAAGTAAGCCCTACACTGTCACTGATGTATGTCGCCTGGTGTTTGAGGAAAATAAGCCAGTTTTTTTTATTAAGCGCCGTCAAAACATGGAACATCTTGCCATTGGATTAGTGAGACTCAAAAGAGGGCCCAGTATCGCGAATCATATGAAGGCGGTAATGTATCTTGGTTTTTGTAAAAGGCGGGGAATTTCTTAACCAGCTGAGCTGTTATCAACGTTTATAGAAGACCTTAGCGACCATCATCGTTAATAATGCAACAGTAGGAAAAATCCCACTTTGTTTTTGTTTTTTAGTATTACATTGGCATGCGGAATGTGTTTTGGCAGGCAGAAGTCCATCAATATTCAGTCATTATTCAAATGGTTCAGATTCTCTTTATCGCAACTGTACGCACGCAAAGCAGTGGCAAGGCCATAAATATATCTGTTTGAAAAACAGTTTCTGCCGTAGCTCCACTGTTTTAATTAAAACTGTTTTAGGAATAAACATTTCTTGTTCAGTTTGGTTTTAATATTCGGACATACACTACGTTAATGTTTTAGAAATATTTTCTCTTCTGTCCTCTGTAAAATGAAGTTTCATATAGTTTTGTAAGGAAAGTCAAGTCAGCGTGGTTCCATGTGCTGCAAATGTTGCTCAGATGGATGAAAAGAGACGTGAACTTAACTCTCTGGGACAGAAGGTTTTTGTAAGACTGCAACCCTCAAGATCACGAAAGATTATGTGGATGAATGTTAAATAAATTGGTTACAAGAATGTAAACTGAATTGAAGTGCCTCAGGATGTGATTTCTATTAAGAGTTTTTTTAACAACGATCAAACAAAGTCATTTAGAGCATAAAAGTCATAAATTATTGATGATGTTGTTCTGGGTTGTGTCGCCGTGTGGACTCCTAGTTAGATACCAACGTTTCAGATAAATATACTGTATCTATTTTCAGGGTTTAAGATGGAGAGAATAGGTTCCTCCTTATCACTGAAATCTAACTAAGAGCCTACATTGAACAACACAGCGGAGCAACAACACCGTCACCCTGAAGGCCTTGAAAATATTCATCCTTGAGTTTTTTAAAATGTTCATCATGAATATAAATGTGTAACTCAACCCCACTCATTGGTTTCTTCGGAGTTTCAACACGTGGACTGACGTACAAACCCCCTTTTTTCACACAAATTGGGGAAAGAACGCACTTTAATTTCACAAAGTTATTTTAATTTCGAAAACGAGGCTTCAGACATGTTAAGATTCCTTCGCTCTGAGGTTATCTGTGTTAAGTTTCTCTGAAGAATATTAAAAAACCAAATATTAATTGCATCACGATAACTCGCGTGAGGATCTGGTACACGAACGAGTCTCCAGACCCGATAAAGGTGGTCTACGTTGACATCCAGAATCGAAATTCGATTCTTGGACGGTCCGGATATGACCAAGGCTCCGATGACTGAAGCCGAAATGAAATGAACGGTAGCAGGGGAATTTAGGTTACAAATTTTAGAACGATAAGAAAGCGAAGAAAGATGGAAGCCATATACATAGAATGTGCCTGATTGAAATATAACCACTCAAATTGTTTCTAATTTTATACATACCTGAAGAGCTGAGAGTGAATCAGCTGGTCAGGAGATACACTATTTCATTCAACGCTTAACTTCTTTACGTTGTTTACAAGAGCCAGCCACTGGATTTTATCCTGAATTGAATTAATCTAGTTCACATCTTTATACCTTTTTTTAAATTACCTTCAGTATGTATTTCAGGTTCTCACGGTGGCGAGTATGAATATTGATTGTCATTTGGGATGTTGCACCGTGTAGTTCTTAGAAATTGACCAGCATTTCAGAGGTGCTTAATGCCTCCACTATCAGGGCGATTTGCAACAACTTCTTTACTATTCTATGTAATCCCTTCGTCTGCCTCGAACTTAAGGAACATCCCGTTAGTTGTCGTTTCTTTCTTTATGAAGCACTGACCCTAGGGAGAAAAACACGTAGAAAGTGTTACCTTTGAGAAACATTAAGCTGTCTGAAAGGAAAGCACCTTCCCTTTGTAAACGTACAAGATACAGGATGTTTCAAAGTTACGTACTTTACTGCACGTAAGGTGAAGAAGGACAGGTGTTAGTGGAACATAATTAGGCGTGTGCATTTCAGCAAGGTCAGTGGTTTCAGTGATGCAGTTTCTGCCTGGACGAACGAGATTTGAAATGGACCAGCGATATTCAGATGACCACTCGTGTTCCAGCCCAGCGAGCAACGGGGGCTCGTTATTTCCCCGTAGGCAAAGCGACTGGATAAATGAATCCCACGAATTTATTTTCTGTGTGTTATATGTACATGGTAATGAGAAATGTGAAGTAAAATTTGTGCGTCTCAATAGGCTTCTCTGTATTATGAGTTATTTGAAATGTTCTGTATGATTAGCGTAACTGAATACTTCCATGCAGCACATATTCTTCTGAAGATAATAGTCGCTCAGCTGGTTAATAAACTGATTTTATTTCAGGAACGCCAAAGGCTATTTATTCCGCCACTGTTGTATATCTTGCGCCATGCATATTCAATCCAAAGCTCTCTCATTCTTTGCTGAAGACACATTTTAATATTATCCTCCCAACTATACCTGGGTGTTCAACGTAGTATCTTCTTCCAGGTTTTCCGCCATTAATGTCTTATACATTTCCTCATATACCTATGCGTGCTACATACCCGACCATCTCATCCTCCTTGATTTGATCAATCTAATAATAGTCAGTGAAGCATGCAAATTATGAAGCTTCTCGTTATCTAATTTTTCCAGCCTCCTGTCACTTTATCCATTTTAGGTCAAAATGTTCTCTATCGCTTTGGGGATGGGGGCTATAAGCATATCTGAAACGTCGGTGATTTTCTACCAGACTGCACAGTAGACATCCATCATTAAATGAATACATTTGTGAATATCAGAACGCAATATTTTACTTCCTACTTGGATCATTCCAATCGGAATGTGATCAGTACCTCGTGACTTATACCCTTAAAACTTTGTAGGCTGACGAAGATTGCTTGTTTAATATGCAGCATTTTAAGCTACCCTGCATATATGGGGGCTTTCTTCTCTGTCCACAACTCGAAGGCGCGGCGTGCCGTGGTGACAAATGATACACTTATTATGGATTAAAATTCTGAGCAAATTTGTGGTTTCATTAGCGCTTTATGTAAAATAGAGAGTTTCATCAGACCAATACGGATCATAATTACAGCTGCCAGGCAACACTTTGTAAAGATATTCAGTATCAGATTTAATCAACGTCCATTAATTATCGCCAGAGAAGAAGTACACGGACGGATGGACGGTCGAAATCTCAATTTCCTTTATGCGTACTATAGAAAGTTCACTTTTACGCTTGAGAATCAGTGCGAGCTTTGTGTGATAGAACGAAGTTATTTTGACTGAGTCTTCAAAACATGATTTGTATGATTTATAAAACGTCGGATTATAGGACGATTTCTGAAAAAATTGATTACAAAGGACGGTACTACACCAGAATTCGCATGGAGAGACTGAGGAAGACACCGTGAGCCAGAATAGCTGGCTTCCGGGCCGGGATTTAAAACCGGAACTCCTCTAGTACAAAGCAGTAACGATTGCTAGCTTCTCAGGAAGGACTCTGCTCAGTAGAGAAAATTAATTAAACTTGATTGGCAGCACTGTGTATGGTATGTTCGTCATAGATCGATCGTCACTGGGGTCGCGGGCTTGCATCCCGCTCAAGGCATAAATGTGTGCGCGTGTGTAGAGACCTTGCTGTTGTCGGCTCCTCCAGCCAAGCAATACTACCAAATGTTTGAAAAACTTGTGTATGGTTTTGTATGAAGGTCCAATTTATGATTGCTAAAGAAGAAGAAAAAGATTAAAAACAGAAACGCGGAATAGATTATTATTAGTTACCGATAGAAATAATTCAGCAAGTTTATATTCGTGCAGTCTGAGAAACAAGATCCCAATCAATAGATTTTGTAGGTGCGAAATTAAGAACCATTTAGACTTTTGTATGGAATTACCTTTTAGTAAACATTTGTTCAAGACTTTAAGTACACAGAGGAAAATGAGATAAAACAAGCTGCAGTACATCATTTGGTTTATAGACGCCTTTGGAAACAGCAGGATTAAATCTAATTAATGTAACGTACAGGCTATTGGAACTTATTACGCTTTTAATTTAACTGAAACTTTGTCACAGTTTCAGTTTCAGGGCTTAGAGGTAACAAAGTTGGTGCTTTTTCGGTCTCTCTTAATCGAACTGCCAATATTCATGTTTGTTTTGTGATGCTGTAAATTCCTCAGACCATACAACGTCGAGTAATAGGATTATTAGTGAATAATGAATTGGAAATGATGTGGAAAGAAGCGGCCGTGATATAATTTTTAGTACTGCCCCGGTATTTTCGTGGAAGGACTGAGAAAAATCCTTAAGTCAGGAAAACTGCTGTCCGGGCCAAAGTTTGAGTCCAGAATCACCCGAAGACGAAGCAGGTGTGCCAACCAGTTTGTGCTGTGAAAACAGAACTTTCTAACCCTCCTCATTTTCATAGTGATAATTTGTCTCTCTCCGTCTTTGAGTCTTGTATAAATGTAATTTACAGGCCAAATTAAAATGTTTCCTCGATAATTAGAACAAGGAGCTCGCAAAATTCTGGATGCCACATATAAATACCAATACATAAGAAAATGTATCGCTTTCATGAATGTTTTGTTCCTGGTTTGTTGACTTTTTGAAGTTCTGGGTTGTAGCGCCATGTAGTTTCAAAGGTGTTTGCACCTCTGAAACGTCGGTAAACTTCCTGCCAGACGACACGGCGCAACAACAACCCAGAAGACAGCCATCTTCGTGCCAGCCGCCATGAGTAACAGAGCTGTCGAGAGATGTGCTTAAGGGAATTCCCCACCTTCGTTTTGTGTCTCAGCTGTGCGCGCTGAAGAAAGAGTGGCGACCCATTGCGTCATACAACACCAGCACGAGTCTGAACAGTGGTCTGAGCTTCCAGCCCAGTGCAGGGGGAACAGGGGCTTCCACATCTACCAACTGCCAGGAGACCCTGGAGCTCCGGAAGATCAAGAAGGTACAGAGTTTCTTCAGGGGATGGCTGTGTCGCAGACGATGGAAGCAGATAGTGGAGCAGTACATCAAATCACCACACGCAGAGAGCATGCGCAAAAGGAACAGGTAAAACTCTCCCCGCACGGAGACTTAACATTTGTTGGCTATTTAACTACTTGGACAAATTGCGGATTACGATGTTGAGCTTGTGGATTTGCAGGTAGATTCGTTCCAACGTTTCGGAGGAGCATCTTCAGGGCTGAAGACTTTAGCCCTGAATGTGGAGGCAGTATGTTCCTCCGAAATATTGGTATGTTCCCTCAAGTCTTTACGTTCGTGAAGACCAACATCGACATATTCACTGTATTGAGAATTTCAGATCTTAAGTTTTGATTACGTAGCCTGTCGTCGGATAAGATCAGGAGATGATTGTATCTAGTGGCGTGTTATACCACTACTCAGGCTCTCGCCCTGATGAGCTAAGGCACGCCACTGAACATTTCGATCAGGAAGTAGTTCAGTATACATCACCAGGGGCCCTGATGCAGGCAGCAAGTATCTCGGAGACGTCGGTAAACTTCTACAAGACTACACGGCTGTGAGAACCTGAAATTTCATCACAAGCAGTTCTGACCGAGGTTCGATTCTCGGTACTCGTACGGATTTTTTTCTTTGCGACCGATTCCAGACCGAATCTGCGGTTCACACAGCCTATTCCAATGGTTACCAACTTTGGTACGGAAAGCTGATTACTCACTCTGTCTGATGCCGAGGTTAGGAATTTATACAAAGTGGACAGACTGAGAATATGAATAAGAGTGGCAAATTCTGTTGAGGTTTGTAGCTTTTATTCTGAGCCCTAACTGAAATCCCAATCTATTTGTAAAGCTCGTTCGTAGAATAGCTAATAATTTAAAGAAATTTGTGTGAGGAACTGAATAAATATTGTTTGTAATTTGCCTCGTGGTTCGCATATATCAAATTCGAGTCATTTTATGAACTTATAAATGAAAGTAAACATTTTTATGTCATTGAATGCTTTTACCGAAATTAAAAGCAGATTTTAACATACAGCACAGTACAGCTTCATGTTGTGTGATTAAATCTGTGTCTATTTGGGAACGGAAGGTAACGCTTACGTCAAAGCTATTCCACAAACAATCAGAATGTGAAAATGTCAAAATATACTTGCAGGAAAGGAAGTCATTAAAATGTCATAACTTCACACAAACAGCAATAAAAGATTTAATATATTTTTGATTTCAGAACGAAATTTACAAGCATATTAGAGGAATGTAAATTAACGTAACATGTAATGAACACGAATGTAAGTAACCTGCTCTTAGTTTTATGGATTCTTAATTATCTTTACTTTGTAATTGTGTCATGAAGTTATCGTTATTGCTATTTGAATTCTCAGTCGAGAATCGTTATCTAATTCCTACAGTGAATGTATATTAAAACAAAATGCCTAAACCTGTATCGATAATTGAAAATTATAGCGTGGAAACCTTGTAACTGCCAATTTCACAGCTTATAAAACTTGGTGAACGAATATTAAAGCGGGATTTCAACGAATTCCAGCAGTTCCAGTGATAAAATATTACACGTGTCAAGCCCAGAGTTGAATTTGCGCATATATTTTATATGGGTACAATGCCTGTTCTGTAGCTTATGAAATAATAAAACCGTGATATTATCTAGTAAATCCGTTTTGAAAATGTAGTCAAATTGAAGTGGAACTGGAATAAATAGACGGAAAAAACACGAAATTAAATTGGGAAATATTTGGTGTCATTCGAAAACCTCAAAAGGGATGCTTAAATCCGATCTATCTAATAGATTTGTATGATCGATAGATCTATACTTAAGATGTTGGTGTCAGATATTGAAAGAGAATATTGCGTTCAGACTTACTTAATGTATTTCATGAATGTAGCTTTTCTGAAAGCTGATTAAAAGGTACTTCGTAGACCGAATGAATGGGCATTATTTCTCTTTGATTTATTTTCTCACAGCTACGCAAATAAGTTGTTCGTGTACTGATTTTAGGAAACACGACATAAATTTATAACAGGTTTTGCATTCCTTAGTTACCACACGTGTACAGAAGGTTGTAATAGCTGCTTATTTCCAGCTTAGTATTCCGAATGGTGGAAGCAGAAGAAGAGTATATGGAGCAGCTGGAGGTTCTAGTATCGTGTTTTCTAAGGCCTTTTAAAATGGCTGCCAGTTCTAAGAAGCCGCCATGTTCTCATGAAGATGTGAACTCCATCTTCCTGAACAGCGAGACAGTTCTGTTTCTACATCAGATATTCCTCAAAGGGCTCACATCCCGTATGGAGAGCTGGCCCACATTGGTCCTAGGTAAGAGGGCTCGTCTCTACTTTACGTTACTGAGTCTCTTTCTCAGACCGTCCTTCGACCAATGATTCGTTTTAATTGTTTCACGTTTTTCTCTATTAAGCAAATTAATCAGTGACGTAGAATGGCAGTAAATCAGTCGGTTGGTTAGTTTCTTGCTTAGGAAGTCAGTTGTTTCATTACTTAGTTACAGGTGTATTTTTTGTTAGAAAATAGGTAATTGTGTTGATTAAATATTAGTATATTTATAAGTAAGTTAATTTGTTAATTAATCAGTCGGACAATGCGCTTAGCGAGCCATTTATTTTATTAGATTTGTAAAGCTCCGTGGGACCTTCTTAACAGCGAAGTGTAATGTTTTCTTTGCGAAACGGACTAAACTTTTTAAAAAATATTTAGACGAAATTGGACTTCAAATAGCCCTCCGGCTAGTGTTAGCAGCTATCCTGCCTGTGTTACGTACGCTCTGCTGTGGTGTCCAGGGGACCTGTTCGACATGCTGCTGCCAATGCTCAGTATCTACCAGGAGTACGTGCGCAACCACCACTACAGTCTGCAGGTCCTGACGGAGTGCAAGCAGTCCACGCCGTTCGCCGTCTTGCTGGCGAGGCTAGAGAACAAACCGGCTTGTCAGGGACGCAGCCTCGAGACGTTCCTCACCTACCCCATGCACCAGGTTCGAGTCTCTACTCAAAGATTCCTTTGTTCTTGATTACGCGTATTCTGTCTTAAGTATGCCTACGTGTAAATTTGCGTGTCTACTCCTAATATAATAGCCAATTTACGTCAAGTTGGGGTCCCCAGTGGCCGCGCGGTCTGAGGCGTGGGCCTTGTGCCGCTTGGTCGCTGGGACCGTGGGTTCGAATCCCACTCAAGCCATGGATGTTTGTCCGCGTTTTTCTGTGTTGTGCTGTCCTGTTTTTTTTAAGCCAACGAAAAGTTGGGACCCGCAGTGCTCAGGCAGTACGAGTGCGCTGTAGAAAGTACTGAAAATCAGTTCTGACGGCGGCGACACTCGTAATAGGAAATGCAAACGAAGCTGTGTGTGTGTGTGTCGCAGATTCCGCGGTACATCATCACTCTGCACGAGCTTTTGGCTCACACCCCTCACGATCACGTGGAGAGGAAGAGTCTGCAGAACGCGAGACAACAGCTGGAGGACCTGTCACGGCAGATGCACGACGAGGTGAGGACAACATCCTCCGGAGGCTGCAACACAACCATCTCCAGGCGCATCTCAAAGTAACACTCACACGACACTCCACTCCACTTTTATTTTCCGGCTACTTCGGTCACGTATCATTTTCAGGCTCGTTCAGAATTTATCACTAGTCACTTTGACCTGCAGCGGAATTATGTATCGTCTGTTTTTCGAAGGAGTATTCGTTCATAGAAACTATAAGAACCGTAGCGTTGTTATTTTCATCTGTCCGGCTTACTGCGCACGAAATACATTACTTTTAAAGAAGCAGGGATGCGACTAAAAATATCCTCGGTATATATTAATATGTGACTGAACTGCGTCACACTCCTATATGCACAACCGTAAAAAAACAGTATAAAAGAAATATGTTAATATTTAACTCCGACATAGAAGTTAATTGAAGGAACTTTAAGCGCGACTAATTTGTCGCAAGAAGTACATATTGATGTAACTTGCAAGTTATAGTTTCCAGGCCCGTTTATTAAACATTAATTTATTACGTAAACAGATTTTATGCTAATTTTTAATTACGTGTTATGTTTTTCGTAAAATTTGAACTGCCTCTATAACTTATCTTCCAAGTTTACTTTGAAAAATATCTCCCTAGTTGTAAATGCTTGAAGAAAATTGTTTAGAACTTTATAAAATTAACATCTTACTTAATGTTACTTTTCCATGTATTCCGATTCAATCATTTCGGTAGTAAGCTATAATTTAAAATAAATACCCGAGATTTGCGCCATTCTCGTACTTTTAATTTTAACAAATTAAAATGGTGCAGACAACATTTTAGTCTTATTTATAATCTGTTATAATGAAACATTTCACACGCGTCGTTAGCATTTTAATTAATTATCGTCATTTAACAGAAATGAAAATTAATATATCCGCCATTGGACCACGATAGCTTAGTGTATGTTCGTGTTGTTTTCGATGTTTCCGTGGTTATTGTCGTGTTCGCCCTCCAGTAGCCACAGATAGACGTAACACTAACTTAGAAGAACATGAACACTTAAGAACGCCAATTCGTATGTGCATGCTTTACGTGTTTTCAGTGTTTCAAGTGTTCGTAAGTTTCTCAGTGTTCAGTTACTTTCTAGGTGTTAAGTTATCAGGTGGAATTGATAAATTTGTCGTCTCTACGTTCTTAGTTTTAAGTGAAACCGAATATATAAAAATGTCTTATTTTAAAGCAGTGGTTCTCAAACTTTACGTTTTTAATCTTCTTCACGTGGAGGGTTTTAATTTACGAGTATTAATCAGTCGTACATTTTGTTGTAACGAAACGACAACCCTGCATCTCATTCCCGTGAGATTATAGATTTATGGTAACTCCAACCAAAATCAGATCCTTTAGGGAATCAAAACCCAACCAAAATAATGATATTGACAAAAGCAACCAATTACTTTAAATTAGTTTGCCATATATTCTTCGTAAGATATTTATTTTATATATACAATTTTTCTTGATTTATATTTCTTTGAACTCCTCGTATTGACAATTAGCCTTTTGATTCTGAACAATTATTTTAATAAGTCGTCTACAGATAAAGTCTCCTTTAATTCTGGCAAACGGTTCGTTTCACTTTAGCTTGTAGCTTCTTTGTCAATTAAGGAATTTATTAAGCCTGAATATGAACATTATTATTTCTTTAATTATTTCAAGATAACGAAATCACGAATTATCTACCACGGGTTGATGCTTCGTTTAGAAGTATTTCCTAATAATTATTAAAGCTCGGTTGCTACCTACAAGAAAATACTCGCTATGAAATTCAATTACTTATCCGTTAATTATGTAAAAGGATAGAATCGCAGTTTACTTCTGAGTTACGTTAATTATGTAAAAGGATAGAATCGCAATTTACTTCTGGGTTAAAACACGATAAATAAACTTAGTGGGTGAAATTTCAGTGTAATACATTATGACCATTACACTGCAAGGAGTTAAATGGCAGTGGATTTAAATGCATGGGTTCCAAAGAAGCACTTTTCTTTACCCAGACAAAGTGCGCCGTTGAATTGATTTTAGCAGAGAAACAAGAAAGCGAATGCAGTGTGATTCTGATCACGTCTGCCCATTGAACCTTCCAGCAATAGCGTCACAGCCACCACATTTTCTTTCCGTTCCACTTTTGCAAGTGAACTATATGTAGCCCCTTGATCGTGCGGCAACTTCTACGACTGCTCAGTTTTGCACTTAGTCTAAACGTAATGTTGCAGGCAGTCCCCGTATTTCTCAGAGAAACCTGTTCGGACCGGTAGCCATAGTTATTTGAATGTTTAAAGGGATTTCCAGACGATGAGCTCAGTACCTTCAGATACTTCAACAACGTTGCTTTCTTGATTCAACTTAACTGATTTTGAGCATATTTATATTAAAACCTGCCAAACAAAGCCTATTGAACTGTGTCGGTATATCTAGAATGACTGAAGTCGTACTTTAACTGTTTCTGTAAATCTTTGTGGTTTAGTTATTAGACCCAGAGGATACATTGTCTTTACCGTCGGTTTATCAACGTTTGTGGTACATAAAACTGAAAATTTCCATATTTTTTCAAATAAAACGTGCTGTTTAATTACAATAAAAATTTCTAGGCAGGTTATATTTTAACCACGGCCTATCAATGCTACCAACATTCAAGATGTTAGTGTATCAAACAGAATTTTATCTACCCTCCTATCACTTCTATCTCATGAGTTTGCACGATTTCCGTGGTTGCTTTATTAATAATAAAAATTAAAAAAATTAATTCCATGGCGTAAAAGCCCTCTGAGAGCCAAAGCCGACTAGCTGACTGCTGGCCTCACGTTCACATGCCTAAGCAGAGGTGAACGATCATCCAACCAGATATAGGGTGACGTGTGGTCAGCACGACGAACCCCAGCCATCGCTAGCTTGTGTTATTAATAATACACGTTGAAAAATATAATGGTGTAATGGCCTCCTGTTTCACGATGTTAATATGAAGTTTCATGAAAATCCGTCAGCTGGTTCGAAAGTTATCTTTGGAGGCGAGACGCACACCCAAGGTTACCAATAATCCGCCTTGCATAATAATAAAAGTAGGTTAAAGATACTCCGAGTTTGAGAACCACTAGGACATAATGCTGCTGTTGGAGTCACGTGTTTCGTGTTTGTGTCCAGGTTGAAATGTGCTTTAGTGTCTGAATTGTGTAGACATTTAGAAAACTACTTTAAATTCTAAACAGCTGTCCAATGTTTCAATGTTCCTACATACGTAGTCATTAGGAATCTCTGTAGCAATAATACACGGCATTGCAGTGACCCATTCAAAAGCAATAATAATATTTTGCCCTAAAATGTACTCCTGTTTGGTAACAACAAACAGGCTTAGAAATTTAATGCTGCAATAAATGATTAATAGATTCCATACAAACGCGTGTTGTTTCTGTGTAGTTTATACACGCCATCAATCCACAATCCAATATTCACCTCTTGTGATATTATATGGAGATGTAATTCTGATTGGCGTATCTGTTTATGTATTTTATTTAATCATGAGCTACAAAATTGAGTTTCCGTAATTTATTTAGACTTCAAAAGTAGGAAGTGGTTGTTGTTTATGTGTTAACAAGTATATTAACTATTACAAAAGCCGATCCTGGCTGTAGGGTGTAAACTGAACTGTCTTGGGCCGAGCTACTCAGTAACTGTTGGTTCGAATTCGAATCCCATCCAGAGATGTTTCTGTGCGTGTTTCAACACGCCTCTCCACTCAGTTCTGCTAGTGACCATAATGTCCCCAATTTACAGGCACTACCACGAGTCGTGATCCTTGAACGTGAGACACTTAAGCCTTCAAAATTGCGAATAACGATCATACTTGGGAAATTCTATAAATAACTCACTGGCTCAGAATAGGGATCAATGGTAGCCTTTTGTAATTACGGCAATGAACCTACGGGTTCCATAAAAGACACGCAATTTCTTACTAGCTGAGCGACTATAAATTTCTCATTAAGGACCCTGATCCCCAGAGTTAGGTGATAATTTTTAACTTTTTAGATAAAACATGATCTTTCTATTAGGATAATTGTGTAAGCCATTCTGTAATTATAGGTTTGTTGAAGATTAAATAAGAAATACGTATTATATTATTTTCTGCCATTTTATAAGATTTCCAAATGATCTTAACTGTAACAATTTATATATGTTTTCCAGTTACTTGTTTTAAGCGAGTGGTTATTAATTTTATTGAATTTATTTAACTTTTAATTTACGTGTTATATTTATGTTCCAGTTGGTAGGTCGGAGAACTTATTTATTCGCGAGTGTTAAGAATGTTCATAAAAAACATCGCTTCCGCCTACATACGCCCATATTTATTGCATAGAACTTACTCACAGCCCATATTCTGTTTGCTGACCTAATCCCCAATAAGTAACTTTAAAATTGGACGTATTAATTTTACTGAAACAGAACAATTTAAATCTCAACTACAAAAGCTCTTTAGCCTCAGCAAGACAAATGATCACGATTGTGTACGATGAAGGGAAAGTGACCTGAGAAAAGTTGATTGTAATTATGGCAGATAGCTGAGGATCTCACGGTGGTGAAGTTATCGACGTCCGTTTTGGTAGGTAGGTAGGCATCTTAAGGTAATTCCACACGGCGTTAGGCCACTGTCCAGAATACGAACATCGACATTTGTTTTAGAACTTTCTTGTACAGTAAGAGGTATACTGAGAAATACCAGGACAACCCTGAGTTATACCGAGATTCTAAGTTTTCTGTGTACAGCCCCAAATAAAATCACTTATATACTGCCCGCATTATATGATTCAGGACTTTCACCGGTCTACGATTCAAGTTTTAGAAATTCTCTAACCACACTCCAAGAATTCTGATGCGGCTCTGGCTATTGAGTCGTCAATACAGACGAGAAGGGGGGGGGGAGGTAGTTGAGATTGTGGTCAATGAAACTTACACCAGGACGTCGCAGCTTCTTGGGATGTGTTAGTCAAGTGTCAAAGCCAAGTGCTCTGTTTGTTTGTTTGTTATGGGTGAACAGGTGAGCGAGACTGAGAACCTGAGGAAGAACTTGGCTGTGGAGAGGATGATTGTGGAAGGCTGTGACATTCTACTGGACGTCAACCAGGTATTCGTCCGACAGGGTGAGTCAGTCCACTAGATTAGCCGTTTATTTAATTTTATCTTCCTTTTACCCTATATCGTCCCTGATGTTTTAAAGATTGTTCATCTCTTTCCGTTATGTAAAGTTAAAAAATACATAATTAGAAACAGGGAGGTTCTAAGGACACATCTTCATTATTAAAACAGTAAGCGGTTACAAATGTCGCTTAGTAATTCGAAGGATTAAAGAATTTGAACAATAATATTGAATACAATTCTGTATTTTATGTTTTAAATGTTTTTTGAACGCCTTTTAATTTCGGAAACGTTTCTGACATGCGTATTGTGCCTAAGGTCTACAAAAATTCCCAGCAAGTTGTATATTTCTCTCTCTTTGGACTCTGCACAGCTGCAGGAAGTAATCACGTGTTCATATCTCTCCACTACCAATACGGCTTAGACCGAAAACCGTTAAATATCAACGGGTGTCAAGTCGAGTCGTTTTGTAGTATTAGTAATATGCGCCGATAAAACAGCATTCTAATCGTATCAACAAATACTGCGAAGCTGAGGAAGATTATTATAAATAATATATCAGGTAATATAGCCTACAATAGGGAATGGTTTCTAGTATAATTGAAGACTGTGGATTAAATATAACTTGAATTATCGAAACGGAAATGACGACATGAAAGTTCCTTGCAGTGGTAGATGTATAAAGGAGTCAAATTCACTTCATTGAGTATCCCCTCTGTTTCTGCTTTCGTTGTCTCCGGTTTCAGGATTACTCGATGGTTAAATATTGTTTCTACGCGACATAGAATGTATTCCCGACGTTTTGCAGAAATTTCTTCCCAGTACTATTGTCCGAATAAATTTACTTGGCGTGAGCACTCCATACCACTGATTTTTATCTGAGTTTTTATGGGTTGGTTTAAGCAACTGGACAGCTGATAACGTTTTCGCCCATTGAATAATATTGTTCACAGCGGTGTTCGCTACATTTTTACACGTGCACGCTAGTAGTACTGCACACAGAGCGGAGAAATGTTATTTTAGAGAGTAGTACTGAGTACAGAATACTCTTAGCGTGTTATACTAACCTCACTTTCTCCCGGTTCCATTTCTAAGACAGGGACAGAAACTGTCGGCCTGAAAGTCGACAGCGAGGTGGGAAATGCTCTGTTCATTCAAGACGCTAGACACAGATGACTGGTCAATTTCACGCTTCGATCGCTTTAAACCCCGGGTAATCATTGTGTAAGAGATTGCGTATTCCGTACAGCTGGGCTAGATGTGACAGCGAAGAGACAAACCCTACTTCTGCCGGGAATCGAATTTCGTTCGTCCAGACTACTTATCGATTTAGCTAGTCCTGATAATTTTTAAAAACTCATACCCTCGTTGCGTTATGTTCACAGAATTAAAGGCTCAGAATCATAACGATTTACCTCAGAGACGAAAGCAGGTTTACACAGATTCTCCTGCTATAGTTTTGTATTCATCCAAGGTAATAAAGCCATTTAAGCCCGCATATGAGGCTTAAATCTCAAATGAACTTAATTTACATGCACGTCTCGTGGTAGGAGCTTACACAATGTCACAAGGAAGATAATGTGTAGCGCATGTGCGGTATGCTTGTACGTACCTGAAATTCTGGCTGACATTCCGGCCTTTTGTTAGGCTGCCGTCTCGGAGTGGCGTATGAATCCTTCAGGGCGTATAAATATCAGATTTCCATTTCGATCGATATAACTGTCTATGTGATGTAATGTATAACGGATTAAGAGTTGGTATTGAACGATCTAGATCATATAACTACATGATTTCATCCTATTGCATTTAATAGAAAAAGAATGGAGAATTGTTTAAAATTTTACGTTACATAAATTTTCGAAATGCGTTCTCTGTGACATTTGCTAAACTGAGGGGGATATAAAGAGATAATAAATAGTTCTGTCTATAGAAAAATCTTAGTTGTGGAAAGAAGTAGTAAATACAACAGAATCATATTTGTATAAAGGCATAAATGGTTTCACATGCGAAGTCATAAATATATATAAAAAACATTTAAGATAACCCAAGGCCATTTGAATTTTGTAAGTGTTTTCTGAGCAAGGGGAGAGCGGGCAAATTTGCAGCCTGCAGCAACGTAATATCTAGATGAAGAGAATGTTTGAAGCTGTGGGAATTGAGGGCGGGAAGCTGTATTGTGCTGGACCAAAGTAGGTCATATTGATTCAGATAACTGCAAGCCTTTAGCTAAAAATATAAGCACTCTCCCCTTCTCGGAAAGCAAAGGGAAGGAGAAAATCCGTGGAGTAGGATGCGACCTCTGCCAGTATCCAGAAACATCGCCGTCATCTGGTGCGAAGCGGCCGGCTGTTTTCGTATACGGAGGGATTCTGACCAGGGATATATCTTATAAAGGACGAAATTAAAAAATAATTACTTACTAGAGTAAATATAACTTAAAATACCTGACTGTAAAATACTGTGTAGAGGAACTTCAAAATGGTTATGGTCATAACTGCATATTGACTGAAACGCATAAGTGTATTGCATGCACCTGGAAATTAGTACTTAATTATCCGTCCTGTAATGCGTACAAATTTTTGACACAGCTGACATCAAAATCTGCTATTCAGCATGGCACATACCCATATTTATTCACGCTCCAAACTAAAAAAATAATTTTCCTTACATCTCTCTCTTCGTGTTATTTTCCTATCTCATCTCTCTTCCAAACAGTTTCCCCGTCAAAATACCGTATGAATGTCTGTCTGCTCTGTCCGAAAAAGTTTGCCTGCCATTTGTAGCCTCCCAGATTTCACTGCCCTAACAATACCGTGACTTGTATAAATCATGAATTTTCTCGTTTAAAGTTTCCTGAGTGAGGGTTTTTTTATGTAGCTCGCAATATTTTTTACAACATTGTGACCTGTGTGATGAGAAATATTTAAGAGATGACAGAAGACACATCTAGTTTATGTAATTGGTATTTGGCAGTAACTGTCGCTGTGAGAATCGCTCAGTTCAGTGACAAACGTTAAATCAAGGAAGGGTTTCGTTGGTGAACACTTAGATGACTGCGTTCGAATGACAGTAGCGGAAATTAACGTGATACTGAACAGTTACTCAAAAGCAGTGTTAAAATCTCACTTAATAACTGATTTACTTAAAGGAAATTGTTGAGGAATATATAAAACTGCTTTCAACAGTAGGCTTAATTTATTATATACCATTTCTTAATAAACTGCCGTGGCGTTTCAATAAATTGTCCTCATGCGGCATGCAATTCGATAACGAAAAATGAATATGGCCCAGATCTGGAAATGTTTGAGAACCCGCGTCCTAAATAATCCACTTATTTCTTACCTCTTAAAAAAGTATATGTGATTTCTTCGGGATAAGAGGACACGTGTCATAATCTTGCAGAACAATTTGAATTTTGAGTAAAAATTTTTCTTTTGTAAAATATTAATATTAAGAGAACTTGTGTGGTATTTCCATACTTATAAACGTTCTTCCTAGTTTGTATGAAATATTTTTTTGAAATAAGCTCTGAGGTCCCTTAAATTAAAATGTTGCCATCAGTTTGCACCAGAAGTGTTAAGATCGATGTCGAATATCCGCCTGTAGTTATATGGCCTCTCTTCCTGCAATACATGCGTGTCGGAGAAGTTGCCGTCTAATCACGGGGAAGTTTTGTTTACATCTAGACATAACTGGAATGTATATTTATTATTCGGACTTTATAACACAGATGAAAATGTGTGTGAAGTGTACATCTGGGGCACTCTTCTGCATCTTTGTTAAGTCACGTATACACTTGCTGGTACCGCAACACTTTAAATACTGTGCGTTTATGTCTGTCATTCTGTCCAGCTGCGGGTTGGTTTTAATTTCTCTTGGCCGTTATTATAATACTGTCGTGTTTGTTACTGTTGTTGTTGCTGTTATCATCATCATCATTATCTCTATTTTATACACACACTGTAGTGCCTGTTACGCAAACATGGCTTTTGTGTCCTTATAGAAGGTAGGAAAATTTACTCTATCGTCGGTATTGCCATATTACGTTCGGATATCCTGCTATTGCTGCCCGGAGGCCGGTGTAGGTTAGTGATCTGAACAAAAGTGACACGCTCAAGTTTCGACGATCAGATGTTTATGCTAACAACTCTATCAAAAGTCTGGAAATCGAGGCAAGTCTATAAACAATTTTGTTTATTGAGTACAGAATAGTCTTTGGAATATTTTAGAGGAATTCTATAAAGAAACTAAACACCGAATAAATGGGAAAATGCAGACAGGGACTTTCGACACTTTCTGCCGATAATAAAACATAACAAAATACCATGAAGTCGAGGAGTTTACTGACAAATGTTTTTTTATTTAATTCAATACAAATTACAGAAACTGATACACTCAAATAATTACTGTATTATTTTCTGTCTGAATCATTCTCATCGTCCAATTCTATGTAGGAATTTTTGTCTTCAATCTCCTTTTCTTTCGTTATAATGTTCTTGAGTCCATCTTTCACTCAATGTTCTGGTTGCAGCTTATCCATTCTTCTACATTATCTCTTCCAATCTTCTGTAGATGTTTGTGCATTACCTTACAACACTATTTCTTAAAGTATGTTCGTATTTATGTTGCCTGAAACATTGTTTATTCCAATTAGGTTTTACGTTTCGCCTGCTCCAGAAATCACATTACTATAAAGCTGTCTGCCTCAGTTTTCTTCTTCCAGGCTTCTCATTTCAGCATTCTTTTGGACTAACTTTTCCGCTCCCTTTAAATTATCCGAATCATTCTTTCGATCACCCCAGACAGGCCCTCGCCGAGCAGATCTGCCGCCCCTGTGTATAAATACTAAATTTTTCTATTTTTAGATTACCAAATTTAATTATGGGTGGATTTCAGTTATTTTAGCGCCCCTTCAACCGTGACTCCTGTAGGCAATTGCATACTTTGCTACCATCTGGCGCCGCCCCTGATTTTCGGCACTCCAATGCAGTGTTTTAAAATTCTGTGCCCCCATAGCAACTTGCCGCCCGGGTGCGTTGCACCCATAGGGCGGCGTGGTTCTGACTCCAGTGTACAAAAACGCCCTCTTAATGGTATCGGTGATTGGACACTATTTACCGTATTCACACCCCGTTGTATAACGTTTCGGTCTTTACTGTGGATAAAATGTGTTCTTAACCTTGATGGTCCTGCAGATTCAGATTCTTCTGGTTCTGCCTTGGAAAAAATCAAGCAAAATAATTTTCGTAACCATCGACGTGAAACACAAACGGTTTGGAAACAGCGCCGTAGTTCAGTATAGGTGCATTGTGAGGAAGTTGGTAGCACAGTGCGACGCATGCGCGCTATGGTACTTGCGAACGTCCCCCTCCCTCAAACTCTGCGACTACGATGTCTAGTACCTGTTTCATTTCTAAATTTGGACACTAAATGGAGTAGTGGCAGCATCGTACGGAACATGAAGAGCAGGCCAACTGAAAATTGACAAACAGAACCAAATCGATCCGCTGCTTGCCTTACAGTATACATACCGAAACGTTCAGACATTGGCCTGGATTGCTGCGCAAGGATACAATGGGTTTCCGACTCAAATAAATGTAGCATTAAAATGTTTGAAATATTTTAGTTATCTCAAGGAGTCTGCAGATACGCTATTTAAAATTTCGTTGAAATATAAATTAATTGAGATGTTTTAATTGTATTATACCTGGAGTGTGATTTTATAAAATTGTTTTACCCCACGTGTATAGCTTTCATATAAAATGTATACCTACACAAAACAATGACGATAATGTGATGTGAATATGGGGCCTATTTATATATACTTTATCGATGTTTCACAGTAACTGTGAGTGAAACAAATGTGTATATTTGAAATATATTATTACAACTTGTCCCATAAGCAATCTGAGAACTGTGAGGAAATCTGAACTTTTACTTACCATGACCCATAACTCATACTGCCATGTTTATGTGGATAGTTAATTTATTTCCGTACAGCATGTCCAACTTGTTTAGACATATTCAAGGAAAGAATAATTACGGAATGCCTTTAAATCGAATAAACATTGTTAATAAAGCTGTTAATTAAAATGTTCCAATTGTTTCTCGCGGTGAAATTGAACCAATGGATTTCACTTTTGGCGCGTATGGGGATGTGAATAATACCTGATATGTGTACTTTCAATTACTGTAGCTTCATTTTACTGTATGCAAGCTCAAGAAAAGGATTTTTAATTTAGAAAATTAGGTTGAGGCTCCTTAAGTTTACGGTATGTATTATATGTACGCATGCGCCTTGCGTACACTTTACTGTTCTGCCCCTGACCTTTAGGCACAAAATCCTACAGGTGCTTGCTATGTGCATCTTGGAGTTCGTACGAAGTAGCAAGCGTAAGGTAACAACCGGTTAAGATTTGTAATTATTAAACTTCATAATAAATTGTACTAACCATCATATAACGCAGTAAATATTCTGAAGTTCATGTTACATTATTGTGATAGTAAAATATCTCCGAGCGCATACGGGAATGGTGATTGTTACTCGTGATTTGTGTTCTCCTTTTATTTATTAATGTGTGGAATTTTATTTTATTTCTATCACAGGGAGCTTGATCCAGATCCCATCTGATAAGCCTCGAACATCAAGAAGCAGATTAACAAGTTTTAAGAGCGAAAAGGAATCCCTGAGGCAGTGTTTTCTCTTCTCAAATCATCTCATATTAGCAACAAGGTATCGTGTTATTTGTTTATTGCTTCACAATTTAAATATTTTTTTGGGCTATGTAAACGTTACGCTAAATACTCACAGTCTAAGGGCAATATAATTTTTAATATATAATAATATAAATGGTATAATACATTGTTTAAATGTACAAAAACAGCTTTTAATTACTAATTTGTCTCTGACCATCGTTCCACTGTATACTGATTGATTGTTGTATTTTAACGTCATTCATTTCAAAATTAAATTGAGTTAATAGTTTTCTATAAATAACGTGACCCAACAATATTACACTTAAAAATAATAAGACATAATTTAAGTTGGTTTATAATTAGATTTGAAATTTTTAAAATATTTTTTTAAGAATATGCTGTATCTCCAGTTACAATAGTTATTTATTTATCTATTTGAGCTGTATGAATCATTATTTTCATGTTCAGGATTTTGAATGCTGACCTAATTTTAGAAAATCCTCCACTAAAACTTTCTTTCAAAATAATACACCATATAACAAACGGTATTTTAAATACTTAAGAATGCCTTCAATTAAATAAACTGAATATATTTTGAGGTTATAGTTGCGGTGAGTATGAAGATTTTAATTCAGTCATTTATGTAGTGGACTTTTTGTTTAATTTCAGGACCTCTGGAGGACGACTTCACCTTGTTCCTGATATTGGCAAAATTCCTCTAGCTGATGCACTACTCATTGAGGATCCAAGTGACCATGGCGTGAATGACGATGATGGTAAGAATTTAACAGTGCCTGATGTGATTTATAATTTTTATCCAATGCCAAACTTCTGCTTTGTAAATTTGTATACTTTCTTAACCCTTTCTGAGATAACCACAGCATGTTGAAAAAATGCCTACTGCCAACAGACTGTCGTCATTCTAACAGACATTAAGTGTACGTTAACATTTAATTTAATATAAATTAAAGAAAAAGGAATAAATTTCCGATAAGCTTACTAATGTCTTGTGATATGTGCTATGTTATATAATATTTATAAGGAACTTTGACCCCCAAAGGACCTCTTACTATTGTTCTCAAAACTTTTAAGCATACGCCTTTTCTTGCGTTTTGCTTAATTTGTAGGAATTCTGTGCACGTCGCACAGTAAAAATTCTTTGCTCGCAAAATAAGGAATATGTGACAAATGAAAAACTTAAGTTTTTGTAGAACAGATAGACTGTGACTTGCCACATGCAGACATCTTGTCATACAGCGATCCAATCAAACTAGTAAAAA